GTTATCTTTTTCAATTTAGAGGAACAACATGAGTTCAAGCGATGACAGTTCACCGAGGAAATCTACAGAATGCCAGAGATTCTTTGGCTATGGCAAGAGAATACCCAGAGGTAAGGGTTACCCTTGACGAAGTGTTCCAAATTAAAGATCATGCGGTATATGAAGCGCAGTTAGCAAGAGAGCAATAAAAACCAACAAAAAATAGTGGTTGCTGTCCCAGTCTAAGAAATAGGCTGCTTTTTCCAAGAGATATACAAAAGAGGATATATCTATAGTCAAGGAACATGAGTACAAGAATAAGAAAATTTCTTTTCTTTTCCGTTTTTGTTATAGAAATCGAAAGTTGATCAGCGTGATTGAATAAGAACCTTTTCTGTCATAGGCTCTGCAATATTCTCAAAATCGAAAAATCTGACTGGCATATATTCAAAAATCAAAATTGTGTTACTCTAGATGTCAAACGGCATTGTGGAATGTGCAGACAACATTCTCTGGTCGTGGAAACCCGTGGCCATATCTGCCCATTCAAGAATTGCGGTTGTGAAAAGGTTTGCATGAACAAAAATACACTAAGGGAAAATTGTGATACGATACGATTTAACGCTAGCGAGATACCGGAGAGCAACTAACTTAACAAAAGAATCTTGTCTTCCACCATAAGAATGGTGTTGCATCAAAGTTCAGTTTCTCTATCCTGTTTAAGTTCTGCCAAAGAAAACAATAGATCTAAAGAATTGCTCCTAACTTTAGGCTAAGCTAGACCAATGATTTAACCAAAAAGTCCAAGAAAAAGTAATTTAAAAACACGTGAAAACTACGGTAGACATGAAATATGATCTTATTCTGAGGCAATGAATCAAAAGTCTTGAATTACAAGTCATACGAGTTATGAAGAAATCTAAAAGGATTTAAATTAGCATAATTTTATGTTTTCAGTGCAAGCTCGTTCGCCAACGCCGCTCTATTATGTCGACACAAATTCGCCTACGTCGCGAGCAAGATAAAAGATTCCAGGTAGATCTTAAATTAAAGAAAAAATTATGAGCGATTCGCATCCAGAAATAATTAAGGTTAGACAGGTGAATTGGCAGATAGTCGATTAATACTTTTATTTAGCGCACAACCAATGTTTCCGAGGCTGATGTCATCCCATTGAATACGGTATTTGAAACAGACAAACGTGACGATATCAACATGTGCTATTTCTGTCAAAAATGCAAAAATCATGGGATTCTAATGTGGAAGAAGGTTGGTGCTAATTTCGATATAAACATCCGAGCATTCATTCTGAGCAACAAGACAAATGATAATTAATACTCTTTATAGGATCACAAGCGAAACTGTGAGTATGCAAACTGCCGCTGTGAACAGTGTGATCTGATTGATACAAGAAGAGCGCTTGATAGACACATCAAGAAGAGCAAAGATATGAAATCAGGTAACCTGCCAGTCCTAGCCAAATAGCTTAGATTTTCGCACATTTCCACAATTATTAACAAAGGCTTGACAGAACAAATTCGAATAGATTCTGAACTCAAAACCATGTAATCTAAAAGAAAAGTGGTCCCCACACTTTTTTTGCTTAGAATTTTCTTGTATGCGAGAAACATGTCAAGGATCACATCTACATAAAATATTCTCTTGTAAAAAACACAGAAATTCATAATTTAGGATCGAGCAATAGGGATCAGTCCTCCTCTCTTATAAATATCCTAGGCCTTTTGATCCAATTCCAATTGATCCAAAACGAGTACACGTCTTTCAGTGAATTCATCCGACTGCTCATCATCGAGCTCGTCTGAGGATTCTAGCCAAAGCTGCGAAAGTGTCAACGGTCAGATGTCATCTTACAGAGCTGCGATGCCAGCATCACTGTCGAGCAGTTTAGACACGGTATGGTGTTAATATAAGTTATTTCGCTGCGTAATTTCTATGATCCATATTTGGAACATCTTACTTTAAATTAGTTTTATGAGAAGAAGA